AACCCCTGTATGCCAGCTACTTATCACCTGACCAAGTTTAGTTACAGCAAACCCGCAACCCCTGTATGCCAGCTACTTATCATGTAACTAAACTTGGTCAGATGGTATACAGGGGTTGCGCTACTTATCACCTGACCAAGTTTAGTTACAGCAAACCCATGTATGCCAGCTACTTACTATATGACCAAGTTTAGTTATAGCAACCCCTGTATGCCAGCTACTTACTATATGACCAAGTTTAGTTACAGCAACCCCTGTATGTACAATACAACAAGTTTCAATACACCTAACATCAGGTCGATATTTTCAATATGTCTAAACAACAGTCAAGGGTGAAATTCTCCCATGTTTTACACCCTATACAATATGCAGCACATGAACAACTTAAGTAAGATAAATCTACCTTTGTGTAAAACTATTACACAACGAAGAAGTGACACTCTTTATCAAAACTAACTTAGATTAAAATCTACTAATCCTTGACATATTTTGCAACAATAATGACGAATTAGTTGTTTATTTCTGTTATTCGTGTACAGCTATCACTCTTATAATGCATCTATGACCCCAAAGTGGAAAGCATGGTTTTGTGAGCCATACTAAGATTCAGAGTCGAGCATATTAACTATTACGCCATACATTAAACAATTTTCTTTTCATGCAGAGATTTACAAGTGCTCTTTAAACATATCACAAGACATTTAGTGGCTCTATTTCAATGATTTCACAAAAAATGAAAGTTTGGAAACGTCTTAAGTACGATTACAAAAACACAACAACATACTTACATATGCCTTCATATCTCTTGTAATCCAATCTTATATCTAAGTTTCTGGTATCAATCTCCAGACCAACCCAGCGTAAAGGTTCTGAAATTCAAGGATTAGTTGCAGTAAATTGGAAAAATGTAATCAGATGTTAAGACTCACTTTTCAAAATATGTACCAGCAGTGTACAAATTAATACGTGAAGAAAGGTTTATAATACCAGAAATAAATGACCTTATAACATCAAATTGTTTTTCTTTAATTCGACACTCAACGTTTCGCTTTACAGCTTCGTCAGGTGCGTTCCACTAAAACACAAACCATAACTGACAGTACAAAGCAGTTCAAATTATTATGTCTTCTATACACCAATATGCATTACAGAAATTAATATGTGAAGAAAAGTTTACCCAAAAAATGGGGTGATTCAGGAAAAAAAGTTAACATTTTCTTACACTGAAAATGTCTTTTCGATACGTACTTACCTAGTTTGCCCTCTAAGCATTGATAAAAGTTTTATCTTAGCTATCAGCACACCAGTCATTTATACCCCTTCATTTTCACACCACTTTAGAACATATGCTGATCATGTGATTACCCTTCACCAATCATACTACATCATCTATATTATAGATTCCAGCACAATCCTCACTTTCGGGAATGGGCAGGTACAAACTAGAAGCACTGGCATATCAGTGGGGAGGAAGGGTGGGAAGAGGTAAATACTTATCAGAAATACATTTTCAGTGTAAGAGAATGTTAACTCCAAAAAAGTACTACCTCCTCTCACTCAAAGCTAGAATCCAACATTGCAAAGGTGGAGGGGCTGGTGAAGGCACGACAGTATTCAATCAAGCAGAGAGTAACACCACCTTGAAAGAACAGATGTTCCATAATAAGAAAAGAAGGCACACCTGTGGGATATAGCACTACTTCTGGAACAGGTATGCTCTTCGCCCAGTAACAAACACAGTAACATATATATAGGGCAGAACGTAATAGGCAGGCACCATAGCCTTAAGAAAGAGATGTACAGCACCATTCTGTGGAGAAGTGCTGTATAACTATAACAGGAAATAGCACAGCATGAACAAAAATCAAATGTCTAGTACATAATCGACAATGGTCCGAAATTTATACGTGCCAAAGGTAGAGTCTTGGGGTACACCGGAGCATGTCAATTGCTGTCCACTGAGCAAAACATCCAGTGGAAATGCCTTGTCTAGGACCTTGTGAGTCACAAGAGCGATCCTCCCCATAAAAAAAAAACCAACAACAACAAAAAATTCAAGGGAAGCACCTTGTATAAGTTGATTGATGAAAAACTGTCAGGTAATTCAGAATCAGCCCGTTGTCAACAAGTAGTGCATAATTCGTCCAGATATGTAGCAAGTGTTAGCACAGGACATAGTGATAGTTAGTCATAGCATGGTGCCTGATAATTTGATATAAGTATATGTGGATAGGGGTAAAGGAGTGTTAATTGTATATGAATAGGCCAAGTGTGGTCTGCCTGGGCAAAAAACATCGAGAGGAAGCACCTTGGATATATAATATTATGGCCAAGTGTGGTTCGCTCAGGTAAAAACATCCAGGGGAAGCACCTTGGGATATGTCAAATTATGCCAAGTGTGGTCCATCCAGACAGAAAACATCCAGTAGAAGCACCTTGCATAAGATACAGAGATCAATAAGTGTGGTC